ATATATATATATATATATATATATATATATATATATATATATGAATTTTTTTTTTTCCTTTAATGTTTGCATATGTAAATATTTGATCAGAATCATCCAATGAGTAGGTCGGGTGTTGAAGTGTAGAATTTTCTCGGTTTAATTAAATAGAACAACATTCTAGAGCCTAACTAAGGTTAAGCTATGTTTCAGAGCCTGAATTGAAATAAAACCGGACAACTATAAAGACCATTAATGGAAGTTTTGGGATGGATTCAGCATATTTCTAAAGAATGGAAAGTAATGGCAACCTACCGCACAGCAGCTGCATCCAGGCACAGGTCTTGTAAACGGTGGAGGTGTTGCAGAAGAAGAAGAGCGCCATGCAGGCGATGCAGCTGAGGATCAGCACCATGGACAGCAGCACGAACACCGAGGCGGCCTTAAAGGCTCCCGACGGGATGGAGGCGAAGTCGGAGAAGCTGCCCACGCAGGTGAGGTCCTGGCTGGACGCCTGCACGCTGCCCACGCAGTAGTGAAACAGGCCGAAGTGGCCGATGTGAGGCGTCTTGACGCTGTCGCCGATCCAGTACGGCTGGATGAACACCACCACGTTGACGATGGCAAAGCAGATGGTGAAGATGGCCCACAGAACCCCGATGGCCCGGGAGTTGCGCATGTAGTTGTCATGGTAGATCTTGGAGGCTTCTTGGGAAGGCAACATGTTTGCTATTCTTATTTCTTTCAACTTCTTCTTTTACTGCACTGGTCTATCCTTCTTTACTCTAACAAGAAAATGAATATGAATATGTAACCCCCCCACACACACAGATTGACACATAAATATCCAAAGCTCTCCTTGCGCTAAGATTTCCTCCGCTTTGCCTTTCTCTGGAATGGGCCTAAAAAATCATGGAACCTGGAAATATGTATGATACCCCAAAAGACAACACATTACAAAAATGACATGTAAGGAATGCTACATTAAAGCAATTTAAAATCATAGCCTACTTCTACTTCTGATGAATAATTTACCAACACCAGTGATTCAACATAGCTGGTTTTCCTTAGGGCTACTCCATGAATGATTAACTAAAAATCCATCAGAATTGGATTTATTTCCTTTCCAATCGTCAGGTGGAGGGGGCTAAAGCTGTTGTTCCTCCTCATCCATCAGTCCAGAGCTTTTCTTCAGGATGTCCTTTGTCACCATCCGGGGGATGAGATGGTGCCTGTAGCGCCAGCGGTAGAGCCCGTTTTTACCTTCCGAGGCATCCGTGGGGGTGCTCCTCAGCCTCTGCTCGCCTTTCCTTTCTAATGTCCACGCAGCATGTGGAAACCGAACCCGGTGGAAAGAAAAGGGGAAAATAAAAAAAACGAAACGCTCTCTGTTTGACGCGAGCCCTCTGTCAAATTTCAACAGTCCTTTCTGGTAAATCCGACATCCTCCACCGCCTTGACTCCATTATCATCATGGTTTTTGTCGTAGCCTTTAACCAGTATGTCTTCCCCCTCTCTCTCTCTCTCTCTGCTTCTCCGTCCTCCTCCTCCTCGCGTTTGTCTGCGCGCTCCCCGGAAGATTGTGATGTTGTAGGCTGCTGATGACAGCGATGGAGCGCGTTCACGTCACCAGCAGCAGCAGTGAGGAGAAATTTGCATCAGTGCGCGTCTCCGCCTGTGATCAACAAGTAACATTCAGGAAACCTGAATTCACTCACGTTTAAAGAGATTATGTTTATATTTTCTAAGAGATTGACCATAGAAGTTTGGAAAAAAAAAATCAAGTCAATCTAAAATCTAATGAACATTTGAGCAGAACAAGGAAATAAATAGCTAATTATTAACCTCCCGGATACAAGCGGCTGAAATTAGTTTTCTCC